GTTAAGACAGGTAAATGCATTAAGGAGGCAAGTTACTCAGTATTTCTCAAAGTGTTGTAAATATCTCCTCCTCATGGACTATGAACCCAAATGACACTTAGGTAAGATAAACAGAGGTATAGAAAAATAGAGAGCTAATAGCAAACTATATTAATCCTTATGCAGTTTCTCAAGGACTAGCTGGTGACCACAAGTTTGACATTTAATTAATTAAATCTTGCTTGTACTCCCGCTGATATAGGGATTTTGATTGTTACCCTCTGGAGATTTTGATTAAGTTATTCTGTTCTGCTTAGGTATGGGAAAATAAGGGGACAATTGTAATTTTAAGAAATGTATTCATGATGTTCAATGAAATGAATCAGCTTAGAAAAAATATACTGTTTAACAAAAATAACCTTTACCTCACTAGATATTGCTAAGGCAACCTAAACTGTAAACATATTCTGCCCGATGCCTCTTAGCTATTGGTTAAAGATATAAAAATAAATCAGACCCTGAGACTTCTCACAGGGAACCTGAACACTGTTTGTGAAGGCTCTTTTCTCATCGCCGGCCCAGGACATCTCCTCTTCCTACCCTACATCGACTGCAGCTGGTCTGCGGCAGTTTTGACTTTTCTGGCTAACTGGTTGTAACATTCACCTAGTTCCTTCAAATGAATAAAATAAAATAAAATTTTAAATAATGTTTGATTACCTTTTATTTTCCTGAAAAATTCTCCTAACAGAAGGGAGAAATGAAATAATAAAAAAACCTCTTCAACATTTATACACCAGCTTCTTAACTCTCTGACTAACCACTGAGCAGGCAATCAAGAGGCCACGTAAAATGCTGTCAGTAGCAGGGCACATTGTCTATTTTACTTCTGACCATTTAATTTACCTGTCTCTCCCAAAAGGCAAATCAAGATGGAATCAAATGGAAATGTAATACCATCAAAATGCTTTCATTTATCTTTAAAGTAAACTATCTGCTGAGTGTCTAATATATGTCCAGGATGACTCCCATCCTACCTTGTCCTCAAAGTACAGAATACTGTGCAACAGGTAAGGTACTACTATCCTTACTTCCTTTCCCAACAAGGAACAGACTCAGAAAGTAATTTGTCCCTTAATCTTGCCACAGTAACTTAAATCAAAAGACAAGCCTCCAGATTGAACCCCCTGATCTTACTAACCACAACCATAAATATCCTTCCATAAGCTAACAACTCTACAGATCTTAAAAAGTCTGATAGGGCCGGGGATTTAGCTCAGCGTTTCTGCCTCCGTCTCGCAAGCACAAGGTCCCGAGTTTGATCCCCGGTACCAAAAAAAAGTCTGATAAAATGGCAAATTACACAATAAATTTTGAGTATATTCTTCAAATCTTTGACTCACTTTAACAGTAGTAATGCTGAGGTTATCTTACCCAACTCAAAAGCCTTTCTTCCCCCACCTGCTTATGCCCTTTTATTATTATTCAGATACCTTAAGAATAAAACCACTGCCCTTGTTATTTTTTCCTGAACTTACTTTTATCCAATGTTCCGTACTCCCTCTTCCCTAACCTGTATCTTAGATTAGGTCTTGGATGGAATTTGAAGGATATGTAAAGTCAAATGGGGAAAAAAACCTGCATCTTAATTTTCATCATTTTTAAATGAAATTTAGCACTTTTATTATAGTGAAGGTGACATACATGCCAATGTTACTATAATTATGATTTTTTTTGGGGGGGGGTCAATGGAAATCACAAATTTATATCATACTTATTGAGTATCTTTTACCCAAAATGTTTGAAACGAGAAGTGTTGCAGATTCTGGAGTTTTTTGAATTTTAGACTACTTGTATGTACTTTACCAGTTAAGCATCCTTCATCCAAAAAGCTGAAATCTGAAATGCTTCAAAACCCAAAACATTGAATGCCAACATGATAGTCCAAAAGTTAGAGATTTTTGAATTTTCAAATTAGGAATGCCCTACTGTCAAACCCACTGCCAGATATTTTCACTTAATGTGCTAAAGAAATGCATATATTTGTACATTTAAAAATTGTGTTTTTTGAGGTGCTAGGAATCTAACCCAGGGCCTCCCACATGCTACCAGATCTCTCCATTGAGCTATACCCCTAGTCCTAAAAAGCAACTTAAAAACATACTTTACAATTTCATAATGGACTTGTAATCTTATTATATATAACTAAATATATTTTGTACGTTTTAAAATATCTCGAAAGACGCCCCAGGTGTCCTAGAAACACACCGAGATAATAATAATGATAATAACTTTCACTTTATTTTGGCCCTTGAATTTTTCCTCATTCTAAATAGGTTTGACACCTTCAATATACTCTGCCTGACTATTAAGGATGTGAAAGGGCCAGAAGTACTGTAGGATCACAAAATATGTAATAATTTTAATAAATAATTAACATTTGTATAATACTTAGTATGGGGCAGGTACTCCTCTAAGCACTTTATATTATACTGTACATCATTTAATCCTCACATTTCATTTAATCCTCACCTAATTACATCTGTCTTCACCGTTATCTAAAGTCTTCCAGGACGTTCTCATTTTAAAAGCTTTTAAAAGAGAAATGACCCCTTAATCAAAGGTGGTTCCCCACTCGAAGTCAGGAGACGATCCTCTCAATTCTGCTCCTCCTACAGACAAACAGCCACCCAGGCGCACCCCATCTCCATGGACAGGACAGGAGCAGAGACAAAATACCCTTTAATAAAGTCACCCAAACTTTAAAGTCAAAGAGGTATACTTCCCATCCTTAAGATACTATAGGAATCGAAGAGTGACAGTCCCTAAACTTCTTTAAGAGTCCTTAAACAGAAGCTAAACTTCTTTAAGAGTCCTTAAACAGAAGCAGACTCTGCTCACTCCTAATTTTCTTAGAAAAATTTCTAACATGCCTTTTAAATCACTTCAATCTCAGATTCGCAATCTCCCCTAAGTCCCCCAAAGGCGCATACACTCCCCCATCATGTGCAAAAAGATCTCAGAGCAAACCTCTTAGACCCCTGCAACCACTTAAACCACTCTCCTGCACCAAGTTTCTGCTCGCTTCCAGCCCCAACTCAAAATTCCCACAGGGACAATCTCGGTTTTCGGTTTTTTCTGCACGCCCGCGTTTTCCTGAGTACGGGGTGACACCTCTCCCTCCCCCACTGCCGCCCGACCGCCCCCGCGCCTAGTTTTAAAAGAACTTAAAACTTCACTCCAGAGTCCCGTGACTGCTAGGGGCTGTGCTCACATTCTCATCTCCAGAGAGGTCCGGGTTGCTGTTCTCGTCGCTACTCAGCTTTTGCTTCTTGGCCGTAGGCATGTCTGTTCCCGCCGGCGCTGTCGACACTTCCCTCTCGGACATATTCCTCCGCCTCCCTCCAGGTTCCTGCCGCCTCGGGCGGGGCCTCCGCCACACCGCCGTCAAGCAAGCTCGTCCGGAGCTTGCCGCAAAGCTGCCACTGCCGCCGCCACCTCCACCGCTCCCCCCACTGTCGCAAATCGCGCCCAGCCGCCGAGGCGGGCGAGCGTGCGACCCCGCCACACTGCTGAAAAAGGGGCGCGCTCGCGCGCCCTCCTGCGCGGCTTCCTGGCTCCTTCCCTTTCTCTACAGCCGTCTTGCCGTTTTCCCGCCGCCCTCTCGGCAGTTTGCACGGAGGTGTATGATCTGCTGGTTTAAGAGGGCAATATTTCGTATGTCCCCCTTCCTCACCACCGCCTCGAAAAGAAGAGGCGGAACTCAAAGGGATGCTCCCTCACCCACTTCTTCCTTCCAAAGTCCTTTCATCCGCAATTGGCTCAATCCTTCGATCTCCGACCTGCTGCAAAGGAGCGAAAGTCTGTGGAATGGACTAGACCACCAGTGTCCCAAAGGAGGGGAGAAACATAAGAAATTACCTCTTGCTTTAGCTGTGTATGCAAAGGGCCTCAATATTGGACTTGGAAGGTAACTTTTTCTTGTTATTTACGGAGCTTTTCATAGCCTCGTTTTTGCTTGAAGACAGCAATTCACACACTGTACACTGCTTTACACTGGTCACCCCCTTCTGACAAATGGAAGGTACCCATCAAAAGGTGCGCATGCGCCGAAGCGTATTCTCGCGCTCGGTTGTTGGGAGCCGCCTCCTCCAAGCCCCTCCTCTTTTTGAATGCTTGTTCCCCAAGCCAGGTAGTTTTCTACCAGGTTTCCGAAGCCCAATTTAGATTTCAAAGCGCTGCCAAATCATAGTCTCTGTACGCTACCCAAATTCTTGACGAATATTTTTTCCGATGCATAATTACTGCAGTAAATGATTATCTCCACCGAATGCCAATATTGGTTAAGGTTTATGTAGAAATGTCTTAAATTTAAGAGAATATAGACTAATGAGGTACAGCCGAGTGCTCTTTTGACTGTTAAAAGATTATCAGTGATCAGTCAAGAAAAAGCCAAGGCCCATAAATCAGTGATTATTTCCAAGAGATGAGATTGTGAGACTTAAGCGACTGGCAATATTTTATTTTTAAACTTTTTTGTATATCAGATACAATAACATTTTAGAAAAAAGGCAGCGAAATTGTCATAGTTTACTAAAATATTTGTATCAGTTAGATCTATCTGGGCTCTTCACTGCACCCAGTGAAGGCTCTTGGTAAACCTTCTGGATTTGTTGGGTGGGCCATTAAGCCCTATAACTAAAGGACCAGCAGTCAATAAGCCTACCACCACCACCACCACCACCACCACCACCCTTTTCTTTTTGTTTTGTTTTTTGAGACAGAGCCTAGCTATGTAGTTCAGGCTGGCCTTGAACTCTATGCGTAGCACAGGCTGGGCTGGAACTTGCAGCAATATTCCTATCTCAGCCTTTCAAGTGCTGGGACTACAGGTATGCCTACCCTCTTTTTAAATAATTGCGACTCCTTCTGGACCTCAGTGTCCTCATTGGTAAAAATGGGAAAAGAAAGGAGTAACTTTGTTTTTTCTTTTTTCCCCCCAGTACTAGAGATTGAACCCAGGGCCTTCCCTCCCCTTTAGTAATGGAGTTGCCCGGGATGGACTCTAACTTGGAATTCTTCTGCCTCAACCTCCTAGATTTCTGGGTTACAAGCCTGGCTGGGATTTAACATTTCTTGAGCATCCACTTAATAGTATATATATCTTCTCTCTTGGACTTCATTATGTCTCCCAATGAATAACTAGTCTAGAATGTTGCATCTATGATATTCTAGTATTCTGCACCCTACCTTTACAACGAGAATATCAGAAATTTTTAAAAAATGATGGAATATCAGTTTTGTCAGATGAAGATTCCAAGTCACTGTTCCTTTTAGAGATAAAGAGAAAACTGGATTGAGAATGAGAAGAGAAAGGTAAAGGAAGGAATAAGATTTTTAATGAAAACTCAGGAAAAAATGAGGAAGCTGAGAAAAAGTTAAGGTCTTAATAATAATTGAAATTATTACCAAACATTTCCAGTGTACCAGACAATTCTAAACACTTCTCATTTGGTGAGAGAATCATGAAGCAGATAGTTAGCTACCAAGAAAGTAAGATGTGCTTTAGTATGATATTTTCATCAGCAGAAACACAGTCCCCTCTTGGGAGAATGCTTATGAAATGTAGCTCCAGGAGTAAAGAATGGACAAAAGCATTTCAGATCCAAATACTGCATGTGGGTTGAGGATCAGTGGGAGCTGTGAAGTCAACTTCTAGTCATCAAATTAGAAAAGTTTTGAATATTTAGATAAAAGACATCTATGGGAGGAAAATGCCTTCCAGCATTCATGTTATCTGTAATGAAGCAAAACTATTTTTAAAGAGTTTTATTACAACTTGGAGGAGTTTGTTTTCTGATGAATCAGGAATGGTAAATGGAAATTAGTTTATATTCACTATTACTCATGTTAAAGAACATTTTATTCTAAAACATTAAAATGGTAAGGAAGACTTCATTCAAGGCTAATTTGATATATGTCAAAACTATCATAATAGGGGAGAGAGATCAAGCTCAACTGAATAGCATAGACACTGGGGATTTATAGTCAAAGAACAGAGTTGGAGATTAGTGGTTGGGAAATTATGAAAAGATATCAGGAGTAGGGGAATTCTTGCCAAACTGATTTAACAGGATTCTTGCTAAAGGAAGGCCAGGGTGATCAGACATCGCAGGTGGGGTATTCTCTCTGAAGACTGTAGAATTATTGCTACAAATGAATAGGCAAGATGAAGAAAGGGTTCAAGGACAAGATCTAGTTGAGAAAAGGGGTTAGAGTGGACTGAAGTTTCATAAAGGAGAAAGTCTTTGTCACTAATTTAATATATATATAAAATATCACAGGTATTCTACTTAGAGTACTACTTTTATGGTGTTAATTGAATATATCAAAGTATCATTACCTATTAAGAAGTCATAAGTTTCTCAACCCTGAATTCTATCATGAAGGATTTCAGGAACCACCACAGTTGGAGAGGTCTTACTGTGTATATTTTACAAAGGAGGAAATTTAGGCTTCAGATCATTGAGCAGTTTATCCAAAAACATGCAGTTCTTCAAGTGACAGAACTAGAGATTTCCCTGGGCATGTTGGTACACGCCTGTAGTCCCAGCACTCAGGAGGCTGAGACTGGAGGATCTTGGCAAGCTCAAAGCCAGCCTGGGCTACACGGTGAGTTCAAGGCCAGCCTGAACTGCATGGCAAGACCCTGTCTCAAAAAAACAAACAAAAAAAACCACAACAACAACAAAACCAAACTAGAGATTGTATTCAGTAGATTGGAAAGCTCTAAGTTCTGTAATTCTACTCAGAGCTTAGTCTTTAGACCTCAGAATTTTTCATACACCATCCATGAACATCAAAAAACGACCTCACTTGGAACAGAAAGATGACATAACTGGAAAAACCTGGAGAAATGTTGATAAGTCTGGTACAGTTAATAATAATAATATATGTATTTCAATTTCTTTATTTTGATCTATGTATCATAGTAATGTAAAATGTTGGCAATAAGGGAAAATGTATGAGCATATAGAAACTCATACTGTATTTGCCACTTTTCTGTAAAATTGACCCAAAATTTTAAAAATAAATTTATTTTAGAAAATTCTATCTCGTATTAGCCTATTGAAATCCCAGTAATAAATACCCTTTGGCTTCAAATAAGTAGTTGAACAATCATTTATATAGAAAAGAAAATTCATAGCCTCTCTTGGCATTGTCTTCTAATTATCTTCTAAGCTCTACATGAGGAAATGAGTTTCAAAAGCTAAATTAAATCTTTTCCATTTCAATTGAAGTTTATTTCTTATTCATTCAATATTTTTGTCTCTCCTACTTCATAAATAGCAGCTGTTCATCATCAGTCATACAATCCCATGTGCTTGTAGATCTAGTATACTATGACAAGAACATCATATGGCTTCTTTGAACATTTAGAAAAAATCAAGAAGAATTTACTCAATCCCATTTATATGCAAAGCAGTATGGTACTTTCAGGTGGGTAGGGGGAGTGTGATAAAGGAGAAACTAAGACACAGTCCTGTTCTTCAAAAAGCCTAATTTTCTTTTAGCATTAAAAAAATCTCATGAGTGGCTGGGGATTTAGCTCAGTGGTTCCGCCGCCTGCCTCGCAAGCGCAAGGACCCGTGTTCAAACCCCGGTACAAAAAAAAAAAAAAAAAAAAATCTCATGAGGGGCTGGCGATTTAGCTCAGTGGCACCACGGCTGCCTTGAAAGTGCAAGGTCCTGAGTTCAATTCCCAGAAAAAATATTCCCAGAAAAAAAAAATATTCCATGCATTTAATAAATATTTGCTGAGTACTCACTTCATGCCACTCACTGTTCCAGGTTCTGAGGAGACTTGATAATAAGTAAAACCAGACAGGTACCTGCTGTTATAGAGCTCATGTCTAATGGGAGAAATAAACATTAATCAAATAATTACCAAAGAAAGGTAAAATACAACTGTTGCATGAAGGGAAATTCAGGATCAAGGCTGCCTAGTCTATATGGTACCTTTGTGCTATATTTAAAAAGGCACTGCCACAGGTAGAAACAGCTGGGCAAGCACACCATGCCTATGGTGAATTAGAAAAAGGTGCTCTTCCTTCCAGCTGATATAGCCCTGCTCCATGTGCAAGGCTTTGTAAGTGAAGCACAAACTGGAGTTCAGCCTATTTATCACCTCAGCTAGGAACCCATGTTTAGATAAATAACCTGCACAACCATGCACAGCAGTCCTACAAAGGTCTCATAGTCACATATAATAAAGTGAGACATGGGAAGTTTTCCCTGAGGAACAGGCAGAAGAATGGACCAACAAGAAGATTGAGAGTTAAGCAGATGAAAGATAAGAATGAAAAACATCCTAGAACTGACAGCAAGAAGTGCAAACCACCTTGGAGCAAGAATGGAGGGGTCAAATGCCATTGGTAAACTGAATAGTCAGTCCTGGTGAAGGACTGAAAAAGTGACAGTACTACAGTGATAAATACTGGTAGAAAAAGAGTTAAGACAATTATGCAGGACCTTGCAGACAACCTTAAGATTACTGTGTAAAAATATATCTTTTGCTGATAGGACATAGGCAGAAAAGGTAAAGGAGGAACCCTTACATCAGTACAGACTCTTCCTTCCCTCCCTGCTTCAACACAAGCTTCAGATGGACTCATTATTCCCCAACATGATAGAAGAAAATAAGATGAAGTAAATCACTCAAGATAGGCGGAGGACTGAACCCAGGGCCTTGGGCATGCTAAGCTACATCTCCAGCTTTGAAAGTGAAATGGTTTGCTCAAGAAAAAATGTACATGGTGACAACGTTCCTTCCCTCCAAGAATGCTGTAGTATACCAAAGAAGAAGCAGATATTGGCAGAGGCTCTTCATATAGTTGGTGTCACAGCTGTTTACCTGAAAAGGAAGACTGTGGACCTGCGGAACTTAGCTTCCAGGAGCCACCCGACATTTATAACTTTCAACAATGACATCAAAACAATGCCAGCAAGATTGAGAAATTTCTTTTTTTTTCTTTTTTTTTTTTTTTTGGTACTGGGTATCAAACTCAGTACCTCCACTTACCAGGCAGGCGCTGTGCTGCTGAGCTACATCCCTGGCAATTGAGGAATTTCTTGAAGAAGTCTTACACCCTCCCAAATATTTAAAGCTTTCACCAAAATACCCAGAGTCAAATACTGCTGGAATGGACATCTTTGCCAGCTTCTCTGCTTATATCAAGAGCTTGAGGCCAGAGTCTAATGAATCATTGGACAGAGGTCTCTTGAAAACACTTCAGAAACTGGATGAGTATTTAAATTCTCCCCTACCTGATATTTTATTTTAATTTTTGTTGGTATTTCATTTGTACAGAGTGAAATGCATGGGTCTTAAATATACAGTTCAATAAGTTTTGACTCAATATACACACATGTAATCCACATTTCATTAAGATGAAGTGGATGGAATTTCCAGCACTTCAGAAGATTTCCCCATGCCTCTTCCCAGACAAGCCTCTCTCCTCCTCTCCTCAACCTCTCAGACTCCCAAGCAACACTATTATATTCTGTTTTGGCTATGTTGGTGTATGAGTTCTGCCTATTCTAGAACTTTGTATAAATGGAAAATTCCATATGTACTTTTTTGTGGCTGGCTTCTTTTGCTCAGCATAATGTTTTTAAGATGTATAAGGTGGCATTAACGATTAAAGAAAAATAACATCTAGATTGGTGATTCTGAAATTATGACAGGCATAGGAATCATCTGGATAGCTTGTTAAATCACAGTTGCCTGCGGTCCATCTCCAGAAACTCTGATATGTGAATGTGTGTCTAACAAACTCACACGTGAAGCCAGTCCTGCTGATTGAAGAAGCACACTGAGAACCTCTGATCTAGATGATAAAATCAGGAATAGTTTCTGAGAGTTTACTCATTCAACAAGTGTTTTTAGAGGACCTGCCTATATGCCAATCATTTTCTAAGTTTCTGGGATTCAAAACTAAATCATCATGTCTCTCCTCTAGTAATTTATAATCTGATAAGGAAAAGCAGAGGTAAACCAAATGAATATTTCTAGCTGCTTTAGAAAATCTATTCAAAGCCTAGGCTACATAGTGAGTTCAAACCTAGCTTGAACTGCATAGATTCTATCTCAAAATAAAACAAAACAAAACCTGTTCAAATTGAGAATGGTGGTGCACACCCAGCACTTAGCAGGTTGAGGCAGGAGGATCACCTGAGTTCAAGGCCAGACTGAACTACATGGCAAGACCCTGTCTCAAAATAAAACAAAGTCTATTCACTAAATCATGGAACAAAATTTTGAAAGAAAGTGTTTTTGCTTTCCGAAATAGATGAACCACTAAGAAGCAAAGCAAGGCTGTATAATGGATCTCATTCTAGTCACAGGATTCCTCACTGTGAAGCTGACTGCAAAGATGATTATTTTCCATGTGTCTGGTACTGCACAAAGTGTTTTTTTATGGAATATGTCATTTAATCCTCTAATAGTTCTACGAAGCTTGGAATATATAACCCACATTTTATGGACAAGGGAACTGTAGCTCAGAGAGTTAAGAGATTAGACAAAGGCCACTCAATGAGTAAATGGGAGAGTCAGAATTCAAACTCACATCTGGTTGACTCAGATGCTGGTCCTTTCTCTGGAAAAAAGCAACCTTTAAAAGAAATATCAGTGCTAAAAAATACTACTGAGTATTATAATACAAATATTCAACATAGAATACAGGGGCCAGGGATGTAGCTTAGTGGTGCTGTGCCTACCTGGCAAGTGCAAGGTCCTGGGTTTGATCCCTGGTTCCACAAAAAAACAAAAAACAAAACAAAACAAAAAACATAGAATATAGTACTTTGACAAGATGGGTAAGGGAGTAACCAGTTTTGGGCCGGGGATTCAGCTCAGTGGTGCTGCCGCCTGCTTTGCAATTGCAAGGTCCACAGTTTGATCCCTGTTACCAAAAAACAAATAAGAGTATTTATAATCCCAATTTTAACAAGGTAGAAATAATGAGGCAGCTTCATGAAGAAGTAGGAATTATTTGGAAAGCAAATTTTGTTTATGTCACCCTAATGGAGTCCTAGAAACAGAGACAATCCAAAGGATGCAAATGCTGCATTCCAAACATTAAGAAAGTATACTCAGTTGTAGATAAAGAAAAATTAATCAAGATCAAGTATAGCGTGAATGAAATCCTCTTGTGATCATACAGTGCCTTGTCTTGCCAAGTACAGACCTTGTGATGTCAGTTTTCTATTTATATTCATATTCTATTCCCAGAATGGTACATTCGACATCATAAGTTCAGTACTTTGGTGTATGTTTTGTAATAGTCTCTTTTTGGTTTGGGAAGGGCCAGTCATGAAAAGTCTTATGCTGTAGATGTGTAAAAAATGGGTAGCTAAAGAAGAGTTTTCAGTTTGACAGAGGTCACCGGGTAAGACGGGAGGCAGGAAGAGGAGCTCTGAGGCTCTTTCAGTACTCAAATCTGAATTAAGGTAGTACCAATGAAGACGGAAAGCAAGGGGTTGTTTCCAAAAGTAATTAAGAAATACAATCTGCAAGACTCAGTAATTCATGGAAGGTGAAGGGAGAAGGGAGCCAGGCATAGGGTGACTCAGTTTAGAGTTTGGCTGATTTCCTGGATGGTAGTATCTAAACCAAGGTAAGGAAAATAACAGAAGTAAGTGGAATTTTTATTTTATTGTTGAGAAGACAGGAACGATGTAATTTTACAAATAACAATAGACTCTTACTAATTTAAGAAAAGAATAAGTTCAAACAATGGAGATAATTCCAATGTCTTACTCTTTCAAAAGAAAGTATAAGCATTAAGTAGAATAATATATGTGGAGGAGCTTAAAACATTTAATATTTCAGGGAAAATGTTGAAAAAATCTGATTTTTGAAATAAAGGTTTGCTCTTACTTTAAGTTTAGCAGCCTTGATTTTAAGAATGATAAATGTTATCCACAATTTCCCTTCAGTACAATAAAGAAAAGGGGGAAAAAAAAAGAAAAGTGGGCACAGGAAAATTTATTTTGATTGTGACTATCTTTTGAGATTCTTAGTGTTCTTTTCAAATGTAAATCAAAACTAGGTGATACCCCTATTTTAAAATACTAAGACAAAAAGGATCCAGGGCCGGGGTTTAGCTCAGTGGTTCTGGCACCTGCTGTGCAAGTGCAAGGTCCCAAGTTCGAACGCCAGTACCAAAAAAAAAAAAGGATCCAGAAAGTTGTACTTAGAGGTAAGTATCATTTATTGAAGGTTTGTCATATGCCAGGTATGTTGCACAGTTTATCTCACTTAATCTTGATAACATCCTTGTATCTCTATTTACAGGTGAGGAAGCTGAGACAGAAGTCAAGTTGTAACTCAAAATCACAAAAGTAGCATGTGGTATAGCTAAGTATAAATCCTAACTCGGACCTGAGTTCTTTACCACTGCACTATATAATGGCTTCCCACTAAGCTGCTAACATGTTCATCTTAGGTGAGTAGATTTATATATTTTCTTCCCTTCTTCCTTCCCTCTCTTCCTTTTTTCCTTTCTTTTTGTTTCTCTATTTTTGTTTTTGTTTTTTTTGGTAATAAGAATGTGCTACTTTTGAATTAAGAAAAGTGTTTATTTTAATTTAAAAAGCAAACAGATAAATTAATTTATTTTACATAGTCCAATTCTCATCTACCCTCCTCCCCAATCTCTATGCCTAATTTTGATTTTAAGTATTAAGAACATTGCTGTTTGGGCCAGGGATTTAGCTCAGTGGTTCTGCGCCTGCCTTGCAAGCACAAGGACCTGAGTTCGATCCCTGGTACCAAAAAAAAAAAAGAACATTGCTGTTTGAAGTTAAGGCTTGCCTGTTACATGGTACATATTTTGTGCTTAATTCTTTGAAGACTGCAATTACTGCCAGGTTAATTAACTGTCATTATTTTAGAGTCAGAAATATTACAGGTAAATGCTCAGCTTTATAGTTTAAAGCTAGATAAATGAGAGTTTTGTTGTTGTTTTAACATTTGTAATTTCTATATTATCTGAAAGTTTGTTAGTCAACCATCAAAAATTCACTGTTAGCTATCAGTTAAAGTCAGTGCTCAAAACAGTACTGACATTTGATACCTAATTCAGAACTATGAGGATCACCCCTTAGAAAATTATATTTCCAATTTCTCTGTAAAGATTTTTTTCTTTTTCCCATGTCCATATTGGTTTGTTATTATATAATGTCTCAGGAGAATTAGCCTGTTGGATCAGATAGCGCTGTTTGTGTTGAAATAAGTCATCGGGAAGTTTTTGTGTTGAAAGGGTAATTACATAGATTAAATTACATAGATTTTCCAAAACAACACGAGACACTTAAAAAAAAAAAAAGATGTCAGATTGCATTTGGATTCACCGACCTTAACACTCATCCACCATCAGTAGATATAACAAAGCATGAAGAAATAATTAATTTATTTTATACAAAGATTTCTTGCTGCTTTTGGTTTGGAGATATGTTAAAATATGCTGGGAGAAAACCTTGAAAAGGGTCAAAACAAGAAAGTTTTCCAAGTGGAGATGTAATAAGTAAAAATATATATGTTTTAAAAAACAAGGCAGGGAGCTAAATTAGAAATTAGAGAACATGAGTTCTTGCTGTATTTCATTTCTTTGAAGTAGTAACAGTGACTTTCTGGTTCTTAGAACAAAGATATGATAAAGCTAGTTCAAGCTTTCAAAAGTTACAGAATGTCAAAAATTTTGATGAGTTGGGTGTAAATGAATCAGAAACATATAGATTATGCTCCTTTAAGTGCACAGGAGTTTAAAAGTGCAGAGGAAAATATGTTCAATCACATCCTCAGAGACATTCTGAAATTCAACAGTAATTAGAATGTTCCATTTCACATCTGAAGTGTGAACTAAATGAGACCATTGCTATCCATCTCCAGAGTAAATGGTGGAGATCATTTTCATTGACTTTGTTTCTCCTCTTCACCTTTGAAAAAAATTTTATGCAGTTTTTGGCATTAAACTAACAGCATGGGTAAATTACCTCCTATTTTGACTTGTTCTTTTTCTTGTTTTTTTTGGTAAAATATGAGGTACTGGTTGGGAAAAGTCAAAACAGTAACTTTGGATGCCACTGTCCACACAGAAAAGGAACTTGTTTTAGCTAATTTATGGCTCACTTTGTGTATGTGTGCATGTGTGTGTGTGTGTGTGTGTGTGTGTGTGTGGTGGGGTGCTCGGGCATGAACCTAAGGCCTCGAGCATAATAGCAAGCACTCTACCACTGAACTACATCCCTAACCCTTTTAATTTTATTTTTGAGTTAAGGTCTAAGTTACCCAGGCTTGCTTCAAACTTTCCATCCTCCTGCCTCTGCCTCCCCAATAGCTGGATTACAGGCATGTGGTACCACATTGGACTGAAACACACTTTTAAGATAGGAGCTTAAATGCTTCTTGCTCCCAGCAAGCCTCCCCCACCCATGCAAATGCATTTTATTGCCATCCACAGAAGTCATCACCCTAGATTGTAGTTGGCATTGCTATTTCTCCCCATTAAACTATAGCCTCTATGAGGTCAGATACCTTGTGAAGGCTGTTTGTCTTTGTACTCCTAACCAAACTCCCAGTATGAAATTGGAATTCAATAGGCACTGTTTGGATAGATGATTAGAAGCAGGGAGCATAAAGAAAATATTAAAAACTATGTGTATGGGAGAAAAAGTAGTATCCCCCACCTATTGCTAAGGTTCATGGCTAAGACTTTTATAATAAAAGAGAGATTAACAAGCACTTGGGGGGCTGAGGCAAGAGGATCGCTGTGAGTTTGAGGCCAGCCTGGGCTACATAGTGAGTTCTGGGCCAGTTTGAACTACAAAGAGAGACCCTGCCTCAAAAAACCAAAAAAAAAAAAAAAAGAGAGAGAGAGAGATTAACAAAAGAAAAAGACAAGCATACAAATTTATTCAATATACTTGCAAATATATCTGACATGGAAACCATCATAAATGAAGATGCAGAGATAAGTTAATTAGTTCTCTGCTGCCATTCCATGCTCCTAGGGCAGAGAAGGTGAGTCAGTCCCAGCGCCAAGGAGGAGGCTCCACCACCCCCATTCCATGCTCCTAGGGTAGAGGAGGTGAGCCACACAGACAGCAGAAGCAACCCCCCCCCCATGGGAATGAGAAGACACATAAACAAGCCTCAAAAACAGACTTCCGGATCACCTACAGCAACCCCAAAAGAAAATGAGAAGGAACAATCTGGTACTCAACCACCTGGACTCTCTGAACTCACAACAAAAGAAGATCTGGGAAAAATGAAATCAGAAATAATTACTCAGATAACAGCAAAGATTGTGCTCATAGTGCAAGGTATGATTAATAAATCTAGAGAGGACACAGATAAAAAAATAGAGGATCTGAGGAACATGATGGAATCCCAACATAGGAAACAAATGGAA